TTGAGCCTGGGTCCCTGGGGTCTGGCCTAGAACTGGGGTTCAGTGCTGTCGGATCTGGGGTTCAGCACAGCCCGGAGCTTTTGTCTCCTTCCCGCTAGGGAACGCCAGCCAGGCACTCAGCCGCCCCCTCCTCTCCGGCTCTGTCCTCTCCGCGCGCACAGAGTGTCTCCATACCTTAGGCTTTTACAGCTCCTTCGCTCTTCCTTCTGGTTTTCTCCTTGCTTCTCGTTGCAGAATTTCCAGTCAGTAGACTTTTCTGTAGTTGTGGGTAATGTTCATTTTATATTTTAGTTGTATTTTATTGAAATTATTGTGTGTGGCTGCGGTTAGGTGCAGCCATCTTGGATCCTCTCCGAAAGATAGAAACCCCCATACATGAATTTCGTGCACCAGGTCTCGTGTGTGTGTGTGTGTGTGTGTGTGTGTGTGTGTGTGTGTGTGTCTGTGTAGCCAGCTACTGTAACATCGTATGACTGGAATGACTAGAGACCAGAACACCACGGCCCTCGCCCAGGCTGACCCCACCCCCCAGGGAGCGGTGAGGGGCACCCCTAGGCAACGCGATAGGGTGTGAGTTTGATGGGGGGAAGGTCTTAAGGGTCTGTGGGGGTGGGCTGGTCGGGTGGAGTAGGTTTGGAGTGTGCTGGGGAAGGAGGAGGAAGATCCGATTGGAAACGGCTCAGCACCTAACTCTTGGTGCCAACCGGATGGCGCCAGCCATGGGCTGAATGGGCGGCTGTCTCATGAGTGCGCTTGGGACCAACACGTTCATGGCAGCGGCAGTACCCCCGAAACTTCACTGATTCCAAATAGCAAACAGCTACCAAAGCCAAAACAGAAAAACCATCTCCGACTAGAGACCCAGCTTTAGTAAGGCCACTGAAGGAAGCACCACTTGAGGAGCCAGATAAACCAGAAGTATGGGACCAGAGGATTGGGATGGTGGAGGACACCTGGCGCCTGGGGCTAGAACGGGAGCCTGTTCCTGCGCATGTGCAGAGTCAGCCTGCAGTCCTCAATCACAGCATGTGGACGTGACTGGGAAATCTTTCCGTTAAGATTTGCTGTTCCTTGCGCGAGGAAGATCAGAATGAAAGGTTTGTTTGTTGCCTTGGTGTGCAGCGGAGGAAAATGGGATGGTGGCGAATAAGAGACTTTGGAGACCAGGAAGGGAAGAGGTCAGTAACGGCTAAGGTTGCGTTGGCCTAAACCGCCGCTAGCACCTTCATGACTAACGCAGTGCTTTGCACAGTAGTTACAGTGCTGAAAATTTTGTGCAGTTACAATATTTTTTGCCAGCAAATGTCTCCAGTTCTAAAATTGCTGGACGAATGGGTGTGGACGTGGAGTGACACCTGAGCCTCCGTGTCCCGCTGACGGGCTCGGTGACAGGCAGGCCCTCAGTCTGCTCGCTGCAGATGCTTCCCACGCGCTGTCTCCCCGCCCCTCCCCCTCCTCTCGCCCTCGGAATGGCCTTCAGGGGTCTTTGGACTCCAGATGAGTAACACGGGTGGAGCTTTTCCTGTTAGTAGCACGGGTTGAGTTTGCAGGTGCATTAGACATTTTTCTTGCTCATGCCTCCAAGCAGCCCCGTCAGAGGCCCTAGTCATTTTCTCCGCGTTCCAGCAAGAAAGCAGAGCGTGCAAGGTCGGTAATGCCCGAAGTTACACAGCGCACCATGCAGGGCCCTGGCAAAGTGGGCCTCGGCTCCCTAAAGCAGTCACTGTCTTTATTAAAGTTAAATTAACTGGAGTGACATTGGTCAATAGGATCAGATAGGTTGCAAGTTACATCTCTGTGGTACATGAGCTGTGTATTGTATTGTGTGCCCACCACCACAGTCACTTCATCTTCCGTCACCATTTACTGCCTCCCATGCCCTCTCTCTGGTAACCACCATATGGTCATCTGTCTGTGTCTGAGTTTCAGTTTTATATCCCATACTAGAGGCCCGGTGCATGAAAATTCATGCACTGAAGGGAGGATCCCTCAGTCTGGCCTGCCCCCTCTAACAGTCTGGGGGCCCTCAGGTGGCAGGCGACCTGGTGATCAGGGGAAGGTGACGCCTATCACACCTCTGCTGCTGCCACTGCCAGCAGTGCAGGCCTCGGCCGGCCCTGGTTACCTGAGCAAAGGCAGCTGCCATTCGAGGCTTGCCCGTGCCTTGGCCAGCCCTGGGGGCTGGAGAGCTGAGGGGAGTGGGGGACTCCAGAGGAAGGCGTGTGGAGCGGCTGAACCGCCTGGGTGTGGGCCTGGCCATGCTGCAGGCCTGCCACCCCGGTGGGGCTGAGAGGAGTGGGCACCGCCATCTTGTGGCTGTGGGCACGGCCATCTTTGAGGGCGGGCAGTCAGTTAGCATATCCTCTCCTTATTGGCTGTGGGTGCCACCATATTTGTGTGAGCATGATGGTCAATTAACATATTCCCTCTTCGTTAGATAGGAATGAATGAAATCAATGGCTCTTAGCTGTTTCTGACTGACTGACTTCTCTGTGTGTAATACTTTGAAGGTCCATCCATGTTCTTGCAAATGGTGCTATTTAACCTTTCTTATGGCTGAACTAGAGGCCCCGTGCACGAGATTTGTGCATTGGGGTGGTGGGCAGACCATCAGCCCAGCCTGCCTCCTCTCAGTTCTGGAGCCCTTGGGGGATATCTGCCTGCCGGCTGGAGGGAGGGTCCCCTCAGCCAGCCTGCTTCCTCTCGCAGTCTGGGAGCCCTCGGGGATGTCCACCTGCTGGCTTGGGAGCAGGCCTAAGTGGTCAGTTGGACATTCTCAGTGCTGCCGCCACTGCCGCTGCACTCACCAACCTTGAGCTGGCTTCTAGCTGAATGGCTCTCCCCCTGTGGGAGCATGCTAACCACCAGGGGGCAGCTCCTGCATTGAGTGTCTGCCCCTGGTGGTCAGTGCATGTCATAGCAACTGGTCATTCCACCGGTCAATCAATTTGCATATTGCCTTTTATTATATGGGACTAGAGGCCTGATGCACGAAATCCATGCAAGAGGAGCCTTCGCAGCCCCGCTCTGTCTGGAAGGTCGTCCAGATAGTCGTCCACTGTTTGGCCATTCGGTTGATTTGCATATTACACTTTTATTATCCTAATAAGTGGTCAGCAAACTCAGTCAACAGAGCCAAATATCAACAGTATGACGATTGACATTTCTTTTGAGAGCCAAATTTTTTAAACTTAAACTTCTTCTAATGCCACTTCTTCAAAATAGACTCGCCCAGGCCATGGTATTTTGTGGAAGAGCCACACTCAAGGGGCCAAAGAGCCGCAAGTGGCTTGCCAGCCACAGTTTGCCAACCACGGTCCTAAAATATAAAAACCCAGGGGTCGTCAAAACCGAAACAACCAGACCAATGATCGAACAGCAGGCTGCGTGGGGTGACAAGGCCAGCAGGGAGGAGGGGCAGTGAGGGGTGACCAGGCAGGTGAGCAGTTAGAAGCCAGTGGTCCTGGATTATGAGAGGGATGCCCAGGCCTAAAATGGCAGTGAGACATTCCCCCAGTGGTCCCAGATTAGAGAGGGTATAGACATCCCCCCTGCACAAATTTCATGCACCAGGCCTCTAGTTATAGATAGTTCCATTCATTTCTTTTTGCTTTTACTTCCCTTTATTTTGGGGTCAAGTTCATAAAATGTCCTCTATGACCAAGGTCCATATGTTTAGTACCTATATCTTCTTTGTACTTCATTGTTTTAGATCTTATGTGTAGGTCTTGGGTCTGTTTTGAATTAATTTTTGTAGGTGGGTTAAAGCAATCACTCTTAATCCACTCACAGCCTCCCCACTCTCCCTTTCCCCAGTGTCCTAGGGGATTTTCAAATCTCCTGCAGCCTCTCAGACATCGCCCTAGGACTGAGCAGGCACAAAGCTGGAAGTGTGCCCCAGGCCTCAGCCTGCCCCTGTGCCTTGTGTCTAGGGACTGCCATCTAGTGGCCACTGCCTTCCTGTTTCTCCGGGAAAATTTTTTAAAAAGTGCTCCCACATACAGACAGCCCTGTAAACAGGAGCCTTTTCAGACTTAAAGAGCCCGGCAACATAAACATAGGATACTGCCAGTAAGTTTCCCCATCCCTTCAACAAACACTTAAACAATGCAAACACATGCGCACAGTCTTTCCTCGGGAAAGTGAGCTCCCTGAGGCAGGGATTTCTTTTTCTGTTTTGCTCACTAATAAATCTCAAGAGCCTAGGGCACATGTGTCAAACACAAGGCCCGCGGGCCAAATCCGTCCCGCCAGGCCTTGCAATGTGGCCCGCACCCCGCTGTCATCACTGCACTCCACTGCATTTCCATCACAATGACAGTTTATGACTGTTCAGTAAACCATTCGGCCCGCGATTTAGGCTGGATTTTAGATTTTGGCCCCTTCTCTGATTGAGTTCGACACCCCTAGCCTAGGGCATTCCATTTGCATAGCAGACATGCCACAAATACTTGTTGAATGTAGAATAAATGAATGCCTAACATTTACTGCATCTTCCTTACTAATCATGTGTCCATTTTCTCAGTTAATTTTAATGATAATTTATGCTCCTTGAGAGGTAGGCACTGTTGGGATGCCCATTTCTCAGATGTGGAGACCGAGACACAGAGGGACAAGAAGCTGCCAGGTTTGGGGTCAGCTGGCTCTGACTGAGGTTTTCTGACTGCAGAGACCCTGGGTTTAACTACTGTGCGTAGTGCCTGTGTGCACACCCACCATGTGCCAGGCCTGTGTGTGGCATAGCCACCTTCAGACAAGTGGTAGAGCACTCCGGGGACCAGCAGCCATTCTTTCCATCTCTTCACTTTGAGTGACGCTTCCTTTTCTGCAGTTCTGTGACAGGGACAGGAAATGGAGGGAATTCAGAAAGACTGGCTGCCAACAAGGGGCCCCTGTCACTAGCTAGCTCAGTGGCTGTGTGACTGCACAGGGACCCAAACCTCAGTTTCTTCATTTGTCAGAGGAAGAGACTGAGATAGGGTCTCTGCCTTCCTTTTCAGCTCCAGCATTCCACTGTTCCTGTGACTCCCAAGGAGCCTGATAGGAGCAGAAGACAGAAGACCACTTGTTACTAGGCAACCAGCACCCACCTCACCCATGTTGCCATGGTGATGATGAAAGTTGGGCTGATCAAATTACCAGCTAATTGCACATGAGAGCTCAAGGTCTGTCTCTTTCTTGCTTGCTGGCTGGGTCTTACTTCCTTGTTGTCCTAGGAATTATGGAGAGATCTCCCCCGCCCCCCCTCTCAGTGTGCTCAAGGCAGTCCTTAGTGCAGCAGACGCCTGGAAATAGAATGCCTGGCTGGTTTCTGAGCAGCTGTGTGACATTGCATAGGTTACTCAGCTTCTCTGTGCCTCCCTTTCCTTGTTTGGAAAAGGAAGGTGTTCCAATAATGACCCCTGCCCCAGCTCTTCCTGCTCTCAAATCCTGTGATGCCTAGGAAGCCCGTCAGGGGAGCCAACCACACTGTTACTAGGCAACTAGCAGGCTCCCTGCCCAAGTTGCCTTGGTGACTGCATGCTGGAGGGAGGGGAGTAGCTGCTCAGCTAATTGCTTAATTATTTATGAGTGCCTCAAGTCCTTTTTTTGTTTTCGGTGCTAGGAGCTGCGTGGTCACCTTCTCTTCCTCTCTCCTGCCATCCAAGTCTTCTGACTGCCTGTTACTCGAAGCACATTGGCCTGGACCGCAAGCTGCCGCGCTTTAGTCCTCCTCTGTCATTTCCGAGAGTGGTGGCCTCAGGTGAGTCACTTCACCCCTCTGGGCCTCAGTTTCCTCATTTGTAAAAGATAGCTTTGCTTAGAAAATCTTCAAATTCCTTTTCTACCCTGAAATTCTAATTCCTGCTCTCCAGTTACAAAGGGGGAAGACAAGAGGAATTTTCCCAATTTGTTATCTTCTAAGGATGATTCCAAGAGCAGTGTTTCAAACCGGAAGGGAATGGAAGTTATTCTCATTGCTCTCTCCTTGCTTCTTACCTTAGTGACATTACCTGACCGCTCAGTAATCTAAAAGTCATTTTTCTATCTCCCATTTCTAAAATAGACTCGAGGGCTTGTATAAGATGCATGTGTGAAATTAAGTCATTGCAATAAAACTAGGAGTAAAGTAACAGAATTAGCGATGCTTCTTCATTGGTTAATATTCATGTGATTGAGCATCCTGGGAGCCGAAGCGAGGGAGGGAAGTACATAAACGTACTCAATAAGGAAGAATGGCCAGACTGTACTGCTAGCTTCGGAGAGTAACTTACCCTGTGTATAGACTGTCTGTTAGCAACTACAGACAGAATGTTTTAATTAACTCTTTCTTGCCGAGGGTGTTGTTAAAGAACATAAGGTAGAAGTTCAACCTGATAGTTTGACTTGTTTTGATCATTAGAAAGCAAAACTGCCTCTCTACCAATGCTTTAGAATTTTATAAACGTAAATGTCAACTGGCAAATATAAATTTTCAGAATCAACTATTATTTATAAATTAACGCTATATAAATTCATGTAACTGCCGAGACCAGTTTGGCTCAGTGGATAGAGCATCAGCCTGCGGACTGAAAGGTCCCGGGTTTGATTCCGGTCAAGGGCATGTACCTTGGTTGCAGGCACATCCCCAGTAGGGGGTGTGCAGGAGGCAGCTGGTCGATGATTCTCTCTCATCGATGTTTCTAACTCTCTATCCCTCTCTCTTCCTCTCTGTAAAAAATCAATAAAAATATATTTTAAAAATAAATAAATAAAAATAAATTCATGTAACCATTTACACAAGAATTTAGCAAAATGTACCACATGTTTAAACCTAGACAAAATTTACACTTTCCTAAGTTCTGAAATAAACTGGTACAGATGAGGAAAGACATCAAATACAAAATTGTTTATGGCAGCATTATTTATAAAAGACAATGACTCCAGACCACCGAAATCTTGAGGGTAGTGAGTTAAATTATATTACTTCTTTAGAACGGATTGCTTTGTGGCCTTTAAAATGAAATAAACCTATATATTTTGATATGGAAAAAAAAATCTTCAAATATATGATGTAAGTAAGATAAGAATGTGCAACAATGGTATAAAATTCTCCTATTTCTGTTCTGAAAGATTCAGATAGGTGTGCAATTTATATCTAGATATATGCTTTTATGTGCATACTTGCATTTTCCTGGAAGGGAGCTGTGAGCGGGGTTTCCTCTGGGCAGGGGACGGACGGCCTGGGGAGAGGGAAGACTGTTCACTGCCCTGTTTTTGCCATGTGGAGCCGCTAGGCTTGGTCAGAGAGGCAGTAGCGCCCAATGGCTGAAAGCCTGCACTCCGCTTCCGAACACCTGTGTTCGCATCCGGGCTCTCTCGTTTATTAGCTGTGTGTGTGGCTTTGGGGTTCATTTAACTTCTGCATTACTCTTCAATGAAATGGGCCGATAATAGTATCGTCCTCATTGGATTTTTGTGAGGATTAAATGAGTTAAGTATGAAGTGCTCAGAACAGCCTAAACAATGCCATATATGTATTTTCTTGAAAAAATAAAAGGAGAAAAATTTTAAAAATGCATCTAACCAAAAGCACCTCCAGTATCTCAAAGTTGGAGGACTTTATAAACATGCCCCTGCTTTCAGCATCACGTGCTGGATAGGAACTGTGTTAGAGTCCTGGCGTGTGCACTGGAGGTTGTGGGTTTGATTCCCAGTCAGGGGCACATGCATACCTGGGTTTGCGGTTCAATCTCTGGGTGCGTGCAGGAACCAACCAATTGATGTGTCTCTCACCTCTCTCTCTCTCCCTCTCTCCCTCCCTTCTACTCTCTCTAAACAGCAATTGAAAAAATATCCTTGGGTGAGGATTAACAAAAAAAAAAAAATTATGTTTGAAGCAGGAATCAAAAAGCAGGAGGCTGGTTTTCATTGTCATTTTATCTGGACTTGAATACCTTTTTAGGGAAGGCACCCGTCGGGGTTTGCAATGGACGTCTCCACTGCGGGGCTGGCCTGAACCCATCGGCTTTGCAGCTCCGGTGCTGGCCCCGCCCATGGAGGCTCAAGCGAAGAGCAGGCATAGGTTAGGCCAGGGAACATGTATGGGAACCGGAACCGTCAGACTGGAGAGGGCCGGGCCGGAAGCTCAGGGTGAGAGGGCTGGTGCCCGTGCCAGTTATGACACGCTCACGCGCCCTCACCCCTCGCCTTTTCTTTTCGGAGAGACGCAGACCCAGAGAGGCGCTGTGCCAGGAGGGTCCCCCGAACCTGCTGGCCACGGGGACTTCTTTATCCAGAGGTGCCAAGCGCAGAGGGCTCGGCGTCCACACTGCCTGGGTTCCCCCTCCTTCAGCAGGTGCTCTGGGGCCAGCCTGGAGCCCCAGCAGGCTTTGGGAACTGCCTTTGAAGTTGGCGGGCTTGGGGCCAGGCTTGCCCCCTCACCATAAGCCCGCACATGGTAGCGGAAGAGAGAGTGGGTTGGGGGCTCTAGGCCCTCCAATCAGCTGTAAGGCTGACCTGTTACAACCTCATACCTATGTCAGTGTCCTGGCATTCCAGAGTCTGGTTCCCATTGTATCTGTCTGTCAGTCACACCCAGCTGTGCTTCCCGCTGCCCTTTCATTCCTCCAACCCTACCCTAGTCGTCTGTCAACGTCCCAACCACTCCTTCCCTCCACCATCCAGCCATCCCTCCCTCTTCTCCACTCAGCTGTCAACTTCTTGTCTGGCTACAGAATTAGCTGCTTTATCAGGGGTCCCGTGTTCCATTCAGGTCAAGGGCACATGCTAGGTTTGTGGCTCTATCCCCAGTAGAGGGTGTGAAGGAGGCTGCCAATCAGTGATTCTCATCATTGATGTTTCTATCACTCTGAAATCAGTAATAAAAATATATATATATATATATATATATATATATATATATATATGTGTGTGTGTGTGTATAAAGAATTAGACGCTTGATCCGTATTGCTCCTCCACGCCCATAGCCTGCCAAGATGTCCCAGGCCGCTGCTCTCATCCAGGCGGTGTCCACGCTGACCCCACCTCGCCCAGGGCCGCTGGCTAGCTTTGGTTGGGGCCAGGCGGGGCGGGGCTTGGCGTGGGGGAGGGCTGGGGGCGGGGCTTGAGGATCAGACAGGGAGGGATTGGGGGCGGGGTCTGGGCGGTGGGCAGGCGAGGGCGGGGCGGGGCCTGGCGGGGCGGCGGGCAGGCGCGGTGACTCAGCCGCCCGCCCGGCGTCCGGGTCCCGCGGCAGGCGGGACGCAGAAAATGGCGAGGCCCCGCGCCGCGCCCGCCCCCGCGCCGCCCGGCCTGCAGCCGCTGTCGGCGCCGCGGCCCGAGCCGGGCGGGGTCCCGCTGCACTCGCCCTGGACCTTCTGGCTGGACAGGTGAGGCCTGGCCGCGCCGCGGCCTGCGCTGCGCTTTGTCTGGGCTGCGGGCCCGGAAGCCGAGGTTGGGGCCGGGGCGAGCGGCTAGGAGCGCACCGGCGTAGCGCTCCAACTTTCGGCCGCACCTTCCCTTCCTGTCCCCCTTCCCAGCCCCCTTAGAGGGCGGCCGCGGCGAGCGCGGGCCTGGGGCGGGGGTGGAGGCCCGGTCACCCCGCGGGACTTGGGGCGCTCGGGGCGCGACCTTGGCCTTGGCCTTGGCCTTGGCGCGGCGAGGGGCGGCCGCGGACCGCGGCCACTCTGGTCTGAGCGCCCGGGAGCCCGCACCGCCCGGCGCCGGGTCCAGGGGCCGCCGGCCCTCTCGCCGGTTGAGCGGGGCAGTGATGGCTCTCAGGGTTTCCTCAGAGCCCTCCCGGACGCCTGCGGTCAGCGCACCGGCCTGCGACCTTCCCGTGTCTGCCCCGAGGCTCCGTGCTGCCCGGCGCCCCGGGTGTGTCCCTCTGCGCAGGCCCCCAGCACTGCCCCGCCGGTGAGGGCACAACTGGCACTGGTTTTGGACACTGGCGATACCACCACACCTGGCACGGTCGGTCCCTGGCACCCAGCAGGAGCCGGAGACGTGTTGACAGGAATAAACTGATGCATGCAAAGCCCCTTCAGCACCTCTCATTGAGGGCCGCCTACACCTGGCTGTCCGGAGCTTGTGAGCATTTTGATCATCGCTGCGGTTACATGCTAGGAGATGTATGTGACAGCCCTCTGAAATGTCCTTATCGCACGCCCTCTGGTCTTGTCCAAAGGGCCTTGTATAAAGTGAACTTCATCTTTTAAGGAGGACAGACTCAGTCTTCTCCCTGGGGCTTGGCACCGCCTGGAAGAGCTGGCGCTCGGGCCCTTGTCTTCTCCGGCACTCAGGGGAAGTGGGGGTGTGTGTGTGTGTGTGTGTGTGTACAAGTCTTTCCTTTTCCCCAAATACTTTCACTTTCATTATGGAATGCTAAGAGCATGTTACTGTCATAAGGAGAGGTTTTAGCCAGCTATCAAAATGAGACATGTGTGTCTTTGTTTTGAAGGGTGCGCTGTGCCCACTTGCTAACAGGTATCTGTTTCCAAGGAGTCAAACCCCGACCCAGGTCTGAATTGTGAATGCTGTTGACAGCGGGGACACTGTCAGGAGAGTTTCTTTTAAACAGGTCACAGTCCGTCTGCTTACAAGAGTAACATTTTTAAGAATGGTCTCAGATATTAATACTGCGTAACATACAACTTTTAAAGAATATTTTGTATCTTTAAAAAATTTTTTTTATTCATTTCAGAGAGGGAGAGGGAAAGAGAGAAAAACACCAATGATGAGAGAGAATCATTGATCGGCTTCCTCCCCCACGCTCCGCACTGGGGATTGAGCCTGCAAGCCGGCCATGTGCCCTGACCTGGAATCAAACCCTGACCTCCTGGTTCATAGGTCAACGCTCAGCCACTGAGCCACCTGGATAAGGCTATTTTCTATCTTTTTAAAATAATAACATGGTAACTTCCGTGAAGACAAACTATAGCTTTCCTATTATGTACTTGCACATTTTTGCTCTCCGAAAGCCAGGAGTCCGGTGTAATGTACTGTTATTGTCACTGTGTGGAAATCTTTAATAGAAGTGGCTCTGTACGTTTAGAAATTATAATTCATTCCAATGCTGCACACATGAATTCCTTTTCCTAGCTGCTCTCCTCGCCTCTGCCCTTGCCCCTGCCGCCCGTTCCCTCACAGCAGACGCAGTGGCCCCTCATACCTCAGAGCAGAAGCCACAGTGCTCACAGCAGCCCATGGGATTCCGCAGCATTTCCTGCCCCCCTCCCCCTTGTCCCTCTGTCTCCCTGTCCTCTCCCTCCAGCCTGCCCGCTGCGGGCTCACTGCCCCTTCTTCCTCCGTGATCCCAAGCGGGTCCTCCGCCTCCAGGTGCCCTGCCTAGATGCCTGCGCTGGTTTTCTTTCTCTGGCTGCTCAGATGTCACCTCGGGCCAGCCATGCCTGATGCACAATGGCACGCCCCTCCGGACACACACTGCCCGCCCCCTTTGCTCTGGGATGAGCCCCCCCGCCTGTCTTCTCTCCTTAGAATAAGCTTCACAGCCTCTCTCCCAGCTCTGTCTGCGCCAGTGCAGCTGCCCCTCCAAACCCCTCGGGCGTCACTGAGTTCCTCCCCAGTGGCTTTCCCTTCCCGCCAGTCCTCTGCTTTATCGTTTGCAAATCTGCATCTCCAGCCCTCGCCTCCCCCTGCGTCAGAAGACACGCTGCCTGCCATGTGCTGTGTAACCATACCACCATCCTCTTGGTGTTGCAGAGGTGAAGTTTCCATTTGCCCTGGGACCCGCTCAGAATCCTCATTCCCAACCTCCCTGTCCTCTGGCACTGCTGAGGTTTGACTGTCCCTCGCCACCGGAGGGCGCTCTGCGGTGGGCTTGCGTGTCCTAGCAGCGGGCTCTGGATCTCCCCCCCTTAGACCAGAGCAGCTCTGGTTGGCTTTGTGGTTGGTGGTTTTTAGGATCTGGCCACTTTAATCTGAAAAACAAACAAAAAACAAGCTGCATTCCCCAACTTTAAAAAAGTGAAAACTGTAGACATACATTAAGGCACAGACTTCTCTGGCTGCGTTTACTGTGCAGCCCACTTCCTTTAGCCTCATTGCCTGCCTCTCCCCAGCTCCACAGTCCCTCATCCTGTTGGTTTTTGGTGGTGACGGCGGCCGGCGGGCCCCTCTGGGTGAGTCTGGACTGAGCCCCTGAGATTGGGCCGGGTGCTGTGCCTGCGTGGGCGCCCTCTCCCCTTCGTCTCCCTGAGAAGCTGCTGCACCCGCAGGCCTCGCTGATGCTGAGGCGGTCACTGCCCCCCAGCGGGTGTTCACAGCAGGGCTCCCAGGCTGTGCTGCTCTGAGGGCACCCATCCCTCTTCCTGGTGATGAGGCTCTAAGGGCCTCTGTGACTCCCGGCGCGCACACTCCAGGCACACAGTAGGGTTTTAATCACAGAGGTGCACTGTCGCAGGCACTCCCACCAGCCCACCCCATCGGGTTTAGCTCCACTCAGCCATTACTTCTTCACCGTCAGTCTCTTCCCTGACCTCCCAGTCACCCAGTTACCGCTGTGCGTGTTCCCTCAGGGTCCTCCCCGGCCCACTCAGTGAGACTCTGCGGTGGGTGCGTTTGTAACAAAGGCCTTAGACATCAGAAGTTGAGAATTACTGCTCTGTTCATTGGTAAGGTTAATTGGCATATGAATTCCTAGTCACTGTTCTAGGTACTGAGCATGCACAGAGTGACAGCGCTGGCCTAGGCCGCCCAGGAGAGGTGGCTCGCATGCTGGGTGCTTTCTCGGAGCGGTGATGAGCCCAGCGAGGTGCCGAGTTGTAGAGGGACCCGCCTTTCAGGGTGTGTGCTCCGTGTGGTAAACCTGACCCGTGGAGGCGGGGCGCAGCCTGGCACAGAGGATCCCCAGGCATCCTTGTTCCCAGAAAGGCGGGGGGCTGCATGGAAGCACAGCTGACAGGCAGAGGGGCTGGCACCTCAGCTATTCCTGTCCTTTCCGCCCATTCTCGCCTTTCTAAAACTACGGCTCTTTTCAGGCCCAGGATTTAATTTTGTGTGAGGGACAGCGGGGCTCTGGCCCTGATGAGGGTCACGGCCTGTCCAGCCGTGGGACAGTGGCTGTCTGTGGTCTCTAAACATCCTCTCCCAGAAGAGTTACTAGTTCTTACCAGTGCTATCTGTTCAAAAATACACTTACTCTTTTTAACATGAGAGACGCCATTTTCTTATTTTCAAACTAAGACAGCTCGAACAACTTGGGATCTGACATGATGACAAGTGGAAACTTGGCCTTTCGTGGTTCAGCACCTGAGTGAGTGGTCGCACAGCGGCCTCTCCACGGCCCAGGCACTGCAGGAGGAAGTGTGTCTCAAGATCAAAAGAGCCCAGTTGCTCCTGTCAAGGAGCTTGTAGGCTGGGAATGACAATAGCAGGGAAAAATGAAAAATGCAGAAATAAAGCACTCAGATTGTGTAGATCGTTTCAATGGATGCATTATTCAATGATAATAATCTGCCCTGAGTCATTTTTGTATGCGACTCTCAGGCAGCAAGCTGCTGTAACCACAAGCCACAGATCTGTCTACACGTGATGGAAGTGAAATCTGTCCGAAAGTGATTTAAAGGAATGAGTGCATCCCTGAGTTTTCCCTCTGACAGCTGAGCCTGATGTTAACAAATTCCCCGAAGACTCACTTTCAGGACATTCCCCTCAATGTTCTCTTCACGGAAATGAGATGATCTCTCAGATTTGGTGGAGTATTGTCTATATCCATCATTTTCTTTTTTTTTCTTTTTCTTTTTTCTTTATATTTTTGTTTTTTTACAGAGAGGAAGGGAGAGAGATAGCTAGAAACATTGATGAGAGAGAAACATCGGTCAGCTGCCTCCTGCACACCCCCTACTGGGATTGTGCCCACAACCAAGGTACATGCCCTTGACCAGAATCGAACCTGGGACCCTTCAGTCCGCAGACCAGACACTATCCCCTGAGCCAAACTGGTCTCAGCCATATGCAGCATTTTCTGTGTGTTCACTGGACATGTGTCTCCATTAGTTGGAACCACGAGTAAAGGTCAGGCCTCCTCCCCACTCCCCAGTTAACAGTGACCACACTGCAGTGTGCGATGGGCGCCGCTCGGGCCGTGGTCTGCACCTTCATCTTCCTGCCCGCCCGCCAGTGGCTTCGGTTGGTCAGTAATTTTCTCACGTCCAGCCCCAGAGAACGACCTGAGCCCATGACGGGGTGCATTATTGCCAGGGACTCTGGTGGCCTCTCCCCTGCCTGCACCTCTGCTGCTGCCCACTGGGCCTAGACAGGTGGTGGGAGAGGAGAGGGCAACAAGAGCAGGGAGTAGGCCCTGGGAGGGGCACATAACTTAAGGTGGGGCAAGAGATGTTGGTGCCCCGCTGTCTGAATGTGACACACCGGCGGCCAGAGAAAGGACCAGCCCTGCCGAGACAGGCTCACGGGGCCTGCATTTCCTGGTCCGTGATGTGAGGAGGATAACGCCCACGCGGCAGCATTGCTGTAAGGGTCTGAAAAAATACATGTAAAGCCTTTCACGTAGCATGTGCTCAACAGAAAGAAGCCTTTATTGCAGTAATATCACTGAGTCAGAGAACACTCCTGGAGAAAGTTCAAGCTCCTCACCTGCTCCTCCGGGCAGTCAGTCCAGGTGGAGTCCCAGGCGCCCATCTCGGAGAAACCTCTGCTGGTCGGCCCCGTGGGACGCGTTCGTGGCTGTGGCCGAGCCTTGCTCCCGCAGAGGCCCGAGCTTAGAGGTGAGGGTAGGCACTTGGGCACCTGGCAGTGATGTCGGAATCAGCTGTGGCTCACGGAGCAATGCCTTGCGCGCACAGCCAAGCCAGCCATTACGCCATCAGAAGCTCCACAGCTCCGTCCTCTTACTTCGATGCCTGGGTGTTCGTAAAACTGTGCAGCCGGAAGGAGCCTTCCACCAGAATCCAGAAATTAAGAAAATCCGTTTCCGGAGAACCTGACACCTTTCCTTTCACAGCGCTGGGCCCGCATCGGGAGGCGCTCGTCAGAGCGGAGCTGTGGGCAGTGGGAGCCTGCTGGTCAGTGGCCTCCCTGGCACGGCGGGCAGATGGTGCTGAGGAAGTTATATGGACACAGCCTAGCATTAAAACCTAGATTCAGCCCCAACCGGTTTGACTCTGTGGCTAGAGTAGGGGTGTCGAACTCAATCAGAGAAGGGGCCAAAATCTAAAATCCAGCCTAAATCGCGGGCCGAATGCTTTACTGAACAGTCATAAACTGTCATTGTGATGGAAACGCAGCGGAGTGCAGTGATGACAGCGCGGTGCGGGCCACATTGCAAGGCCTGGCGGGACGGATTTGGCCCGCGGGCCTTGTGTTTGACACGTGGGCTAGAGCGTCGGCCTGCGGACTGAAGGGTCCCGGGTTTAATTCCGGTCAAGGGCATGTACCTAGGTTGCAGGCACATCCCCAGTAGGGAGTGTGCAGGAGGCAGCTGATGGATGTTTCTGACTCTATTCCTCTCCCTTCCTCTCTATAAAAAATCAATAAAATATATGTTTTTTAAAAATGGGATTCAGCCCTAGCTGGTTTGGCTCAGTGGATAGAGTGCCAGCCTGCGGACTGAAGGGTCTCGGTTTAGATTCTAATCAAGGGCACATGCCCAGGTTGTGGGCTCGATCTCCAGTAGGGAGTGTGCGGGAGGCAGCCGATCTGTGATTCTCTCTCATCGTTGTCTCCCTCTCTCCTCCTCTCTGAAATCAATAAAAATGTATTTTATTTTAAGTGGGATTCAGCAGTCTGTGGCCTGAATGAGAACACACCTAGGGCCGGTCGTAAATGCCATTAAAATGTCAGTAGGGCTTGACTGGCCAGTCGGCGCAGAGCAGGAAGTCTGGACGGCACCTGCATCCTGAGCGGGCTCTGGCCTCAGGCCCGTCACCAGCCCTCTGGACGCTGGCCTGCTCGCTGTGCCACAGGAGGAGCCAGCGTGGCAGCTGGCTGCAGGCGCCGGACTCACCGTCCCGCACGAGCCGCTGGCCACGGCCCCAGCACCACACAGCCCGGCTCTCCCCGGCTCACTCAGACTGAAATACATTTCTTCTAAAAACGTCTTCAGAAATGCGAACCTGAGGGACCTGAGGGACTGTATGCCGGCCCCTGCTGAGAGTGAGTGACAGTCTGGATGGTTAGAGGGCGGGCCTCACCGTGTGTTTGCTTCAGTCACGTAATGCTATGAGGTGAACGTTCAGATTGTTCTCATTCTTCTAGACCATTATGGATTGTGGTGGAACTTTAACAATTTGAAGCGTGCAGTTTTAAATTGAAAAAATAGGAAGTCCATTTACTTCCTTAGGACTCCCACCCCCTCTCCCCCCGCAGGGGAGCATGCATGTGGGGGGGCGGAAGGGGGTGGTCTGTACTGGCATGTTCACTTGGGAGGCCAGCTAAACTTTTCAAAGGGAAAAAGTACCAGTAGGTTTTCATATAAAAGCAATAAATTTTCCATGTGCATATCTCTTCAGGAAAAAGTCAAGGTTTTTTTAAAAAGCCCCTCCCGCCGATGTTTTCATAATCTTAGCCAACAACCGTGTAGGGGCTGCATTAAACACAGACCAACATGTGCCCGAGGCAGCCCTCCCCCGCCAGCCGGGCGGTCCGCGGACAGGGTGACGGGGCTCGGGCACCGAGCCCGCCGCCCCCACGCCCCGCAGCACACTCAGGAGGCTGAGGTGGCAGCAGCGGCCACGTGCGGTTCCTGGGGGTCTGCTTTTTCACAAGCCAGTGTCCGGCTTTATAAAACGAGAAGTGAGGTGAGCACCAGTGCTTTAGGGAGGGTTATTTATCAGACGTTACCTGTCAGCAGAGACCCTGGTTTGCCCTCAGACTGATCTCTAACTGCTTGCTTCGTGGCCTCCAGCCCAGGGCGCTGGTTTCCGAAATGTGTTTGTGGCATTCAGGTTCGGCACCCGGGATCATTCATTGGCCCATGGTCCCGGCATGTCCCCTGTAGGCCCTGAAACGCCCCACAGAACCAGGCCCGCTCTCGGCCCTCATCTGAGCCGAGTCTTGTGCACATCCCAGTGTCCGTGCCTGGCGACCAGCCAGGGGCCGTGAGGACCGAAAGGCTGGCAACCGCTGATCCGGGGACTTCACCTTCTTGAGGCCCCGGGTCTGCCTCTGAGGTCGGTAAAGCGCTCCTTTCATTGATGCCCTCGGGTCAGCCTCGAGCCAGCACGCGCCCTCAGCGCCTGTGTGCCCGGGAACAGACATGGCGCTGGGAAGCAGCATTCTGAGTGTGAATTCTCACCTTCGGCCTGATGTAGCCGGCACATCATTTTTGAGCAAGAACTGCCAATTCATCAGGGAGAGAGAAAACGGGTCCGTCACGGTTTTCCAAGGGGTGATGGCGTCATGTCATGCTGTCTGTGCCAGGCAGCTGCCTGGCTTTCCCGCTGGATGAACCGGAGTGTGGTGCCATCTAGTGGAGCGCAGGCAAGTGGAAGGCGAATTTATTCTGACCACAAGCAGAGCTCATCCAGTCAGCCATGGAACGAGCTGACTCCCAGAGGCCAGCGCTGTGGATGCTGCAAGTCCCAGCGTCACCACGCCGACCTCAGGCATCGTGTCTTCCACGCAGACGCCGCCTCCAGCTCCCATCTGCCACGGAGCCGACAGGCGTTTCCCACGGAGCCAGCCAGGACCCTGCATTGCCATGGTCACCTGGGCATAGGCAATTTCTTGTCCAAAGCCCTCGGCAGTAGGCTTGGTCATTACAAGGTTATTTTAGGGTTTTTAAAATGTGATTTTGAGGTTCCCAGGACCTTTCTTAGATACGTTTTAGTTTTTTTCTACTGAATTCCCACAGAATGAGTAAGTTTATTTTTAGGAAAAGCAAACCCATGACTTCAGAATGCAGGAATTTCACGTCTTAAATTGTAAGTAGGCCCAGGAATGTCAGGCGGGAGGCCTCGCCCCAGCTTGCCTGATGCCCGCAGGTTCCTGTGGACGCCATGCACTGACTGCTCGCTGCTGTCTCTGCCTTCTGCTTGTTTGCTCAGATCTCTCCCTGGGGCCACAGCCGCCGAGTGCGCATCCAACCTGAAGAAAATCTACACAGTACAGACGGTACAGGTGAGTCCGAGCTGAGCACCCCCAGGCGGTGTGTGCTGGACACTGAGTCTTGCACCCTGACCGCCCTGGGCACTGTGATTCTGTCCCCGGCTCTCACCCATGCCATGCTGGCATTCTGTGATTCTGTCCCCGGCTCTCACCCATGCCATGCTGGCATCCTGTGGTTCTGTCCTGGACTTGGTCAATCTCGAGCTCCCTGTGTGGGCTCTGCTTTCCCATCTGGAGGTGCTGGCACCCCCACGGGCCACCGGGAGGAGCTGGCAATGTAGAGTCTGGGCATGAGGGTCTAAGACTAGTTTCCTCCTTCACGATCAAACTCCACGTCCTCAGTTGGACCACCTCCACCCTGTTAATTTCTGTAGATTTGGCATCCTATGCACCTCCTCCAGATTGAAAGGAGGGTGAAGAGCAGGGCCCTGGTACAGCGAAGGTTCAGTTTTTTTCCAGTACATTCCAGGAGGAGGTTTGCCAGTTTCCCTGAGATGAATGATTGTCTGTTGGGCAAAAGACTGTCCAGGGACAGAGTTGCCATCAGAACTGTGAGCTGGGAATTCGGCAGGTGGTCCTCTTGTCTGGACCCTGCGTCATCACATCAGGCTCGCCTCACACTCCTTACCTCCCATCTGGCCCTCGAGTCACCCAGTGAAGTCGCCGTCCTGGCCCTGGAACACAGGGAGGAAGCGGGGTTCCTGCGTGGCCTGTGAGGGTTGTCCTGGCACTTAGTTCTGCTTTAATTTTTTCACAAGACAATCTCAGCACCCACTGAGGGTTATCATTCAGCACAGAGGACGTCCCCCACCTCGCCCGCCCCTGCCACCTCCTCGGTCTTGGGGTTCCTTGTCCTGTGGCTGCGCTGCTCCTGTCAGACCCGCCAGGGGCACGTCCCCTCTGCTCAGCGTTCCACGCCGGAGGGTGTTCCTACAGTCCTCACAGAGGCGTTCTGCACCCCTTTCAGACGAGCTGGGAAAGGCCGGCTCTTCGTAAACTAATTCTCATCAAACCCAGTGACCACACTGAATGGTGATGCTCGAGCAGGTTGGTCTCGGCCTCCATTTTCTTTCCTCTGAAACTGCAGAAGCTCAGCCTCCTGTGAGATGGCCATTGGGACAGACACACATGCACATTTCAGAGTCCAGGCCTGCACGGTCATATGGCTAGTACTGCTGTTCCTATCACTCCGTTATCCTATATAATAAAAACCCAATATGCAAATTGACTAAATAGCGGAACGACTGGTTGCTAGATGCACACTAACCACCAGGGGGCAGACACCCACCTCAGGATCTGCCCCAGGCCCCAGACTGGTCACACCACAGATTGACCCTGATCACCAGCCAGGCCTAGGGACTTTATTGGTGCATGAATTTTGTGTATGGGAGGAGGGGGAGGGGGAGGGGAAGAGGTTCTCTCAGCCCAGCCTGCACCCTCTCCAATCTGGGACCCCTTGAGGGATGTCCAACAGGATCGGGCCTAAACGGGCGGTCAGACATCCCTCCCACAATCCAGGATTGCTGGTTCCCAACTGCTTACCTGCATGCCTGCCTGATTGCCCCTAACCACTTCTGCCTGCCAGCCTGACCACCCCCTAACCACTCTCTTGCCAGCCTACTGCTTCCTGGTGACCCAATTAACCCTAACTGCCCTCCCCTGCTGACCTGGTCATCCCTAACTGACCTCCCCTGACAATCTGGTCACCCCTAACTGTCCTCCTCTGCATGCCTGGTCGTCCCCAACTATCCTCTCCTGCTGGCCCTGTCACTCCCAACTGCTTTCCCCTGGAGTCCTGGTCCCTCCCAACTGCCCTCTCCTGCTGATATGATCTCTCGCAACTGCCCTCCTCTGCCGGCCTGGTCACCCCTAATTGCCCTCCCTGCTTGCCTGATCACCCACAACTGCCCTCCCCTGCAGGCCTAGTCTCTCCCCAACTGCCCTCCCCTACAGGCCTGGTTCCCCCCCAACTGCCCTTCTCTGCTGGCCTGGTCACCCCTAACTGCCCACAACTGCCCTTCCCTGTAGGCTATCTTGTGTCCACATGGAGGCAGCTATCTTGTATTTTGGAGTGATGGTTAATTTGCATATTACTCTTTTATTAGATAGGATTTCTATCTACCAGCCACTGTCTTCATTAGTTCTGGCTGCTCCAACAGAATTCCATAGACAGCTGGTTCAACACCCAGGACACGGGCTGCTGCGAGGGCCCTGCCTGGTCAGACAGCCATGTCCTCGCTGTGTCTCCAGGGTGGGAGCGAGAGGGCAGCTTCCTGCCTTCTCCTGGAGCTGCTAGCCCGTCCGTCCTGATCACCTGCCAAGGGCGCTGCCCCCGCAGCCCTGTGACTGAGGAGGCGCCGGAGAGGCAGCAGGTGCCTGCCCTCCTCTTCCTCCCTCCGCCTCTAGTCCCGGAGCAGCCTCCTGGGCATGCAGAGGAGTCGGTTATATTGCAGCATGGGCCAGGGTCCACGCGGCCCCACGGCTTCATGCGACGCCACCTCCCGTCAGAAGGGCTTTGCAAGGCCTGTCCCAGTGTCTGTGGAGGCAAACGCAGAGGAGTGTTTGCCTGGGGACGGCTGCACGCAGGGCACGGAACGTGGCCCACTGCAGCCAGGAATGCTGTTTAATGTCATGCTAACATTTTCTAGCAGGAAGTTAGAAAAAACACTGAGAAAAGTCCATTTTGAATGGATAGGACTTAATGAGGATCTGATTTTTTTCCTCAATTCATTAATTCTACAATATTGTGGCATAATAAAAATCAATACTGGGTATATTAAATGAAGTGTTTTTCTTTTAAAGATATTCTGGAGTGTGTACAATAATATCCCTCCTGTGGCTAACCTGCCTCTGAGATGTAGTTACCATTTAATGAGAGGAGAGAGGCGACCACTTTGGTAAGTGTCCAGGGTTAAGCTGAGCTTAAGGGGAGGGAATGATTGTACCCCTCATTAAGTGTGTGGTGCTGCATTGGAGTACAAAGCACTTTTCTGCAGGTGCTGATGTCATTTTTGCTGTTACTTAATCGTGAACTAAGCCCCTCCCACCGCCCTGCTCTCAGGGCTCAGAGGGCGGGACGGTTTCTCGGCTCTTCCCGGAGGCCGTTCAATCTCACAGAGAGCCATGGCGCGGCCCTTGGCGGTGTGCCCCACCTAGGGGTTCAGTCAGGACCACGCAGTTGGGGGGACTGAGGGGCAGATGGGGGATGCACCCTGTTGTGTGGAACAAGATCGGGCCACCAAAGACACCTCTCTCCCAGCCCGCAGAACGCCATGGGACTGCCGGGGTGGGTGTGGGGCGCCCCCTGATCGCTCAGTGCAGTGATGGGGACAAGGCCAGGTGCCTGGGCTGGAGTCCCAGTGAGCACGTCCTCACAGCCTGTGCCTCAGCTGTTCAGAGTTAGTTGCTCGTTAATAAAAGGGGAGTGCATGCCATCTCCTTCAGTAGCAAATGACAGGAATGCAGTCGGAGCCAAACAATGGCGTTTGGGCCCGTGGCTGAGCATCAGGCGGCTGAGCTGGCAGGCGGTGCTCCGTGCTGCGCAGATCGGCGCTCGCCCTGTCGAACCTGCCTGCTCGCCTCGTGTTGGTTCAGTTCTCAGGCTCTCCCATCAGGGGTGGCAAATGGCTTACAGGACCTCCCATCTGGCACCCTCCGAGGTTACTCCTGTCAGCTTTGCCACCAGGAAGGCAGACAGGGCTGCTGCCGTTGGCTCACGGGGATCACAAGGCCCGGGAGGAGGCCTGGGCACAGCCGTCCTGTAGCGGAGTGGGTCTGGCACAGACGGGGGACACGGGCTCCTTACGGGAGTCTGGGTGCTCTTACCAGCGAAGAAGCAGACACAGGAAGTCCCAACCATTCCACCAGGGGCGGGCTCCTGTGGACTTCGTCTGGTGCTGCAGGTAGAGGCCCTTCCCTGGTGGGTCACCGCTAACTTGTCCGCCTGCTAGTCCAGGGTGAGGGCTGGGTGCACCCCCTGCCCTGTGGTCACTGAATTCCACTTTCCTCCCTCTTCATCCCACCCCATTCTTTGTATTTCATCTACCGTGTTTCCCCGAAAATAAGACCTAGCGCATGGAAAGATAAGACATCCCCTGAAAATAAGACCTAGCACAACTTTGGGAGACAAAGTTAATATAAGACACTGTCTCATTTTCGGGGAAACAGTACGTCTGGGGGAGAGTTTATTGAAGAACACTGGTTGTTTTTTGTTTTTAATGTCATCTATTGTTAAAGTAAATGTATGTACAGCTACTACTGCCTGAGTGTAACTGTAGACGTTGGTCTTTGGTCCAGGGAAGAGGAGAGCAATGCCAAGGGCGGCGTGTGGAAGATGAAAGTGCCCAAGGACAGCACGGTAGGTGTCTGCCTCTCCCAGAGCTGGCGAGCGCACCGACTGCAGCTGATGACGTTTTGTGCCTCCAGCGCCTGCCTGGTCGCCTCAGAACAGGCCTGGGGGCGAGAAGCTGTTCTGACCTGGGTGGGTTTGCCTCACACCACACGCTGCCTTGCGGTACACCTTGCACTTCTCTGTGGAGATGGTGTGATCCCTTTACTGTGTCACACGGTCTGAAGAGCTAATGCATACAGCTTTCACAGAACGCTCACCGTCTTTCCGCCCCAGCGTAACCAGCACGTGGATGTTGGCTTTACAGCGTGGGAAGCAGGCTCCTTCCCACCGAAGGCTCGTGGAGACAGGCAGGGGCTCTGAGGACGACCATGGCATGGCGGCGGCTTTCCTGGAGGCTGACGAGCTGTTTGAGGGAGGCCCGGTGGGCTGCTGGTTTGCTGTGGCCAAGCCTCAGAAACCTCCATTTCCCCTGGAGGGGGGGGAGGGGGCTCTGATGTGTCACGCTGTCTGAAAATGAATGTTCGAATCTGTTCTGAAGCCCTGGGAAACCAAAGGGCTTCTTTGAAAATAGGTGATAGGGCAAATGCTCCCCTTTCTCACCAGTGGTTTCTTTCCTGTGGATAAGCTCAGAGAATAGCAGTGTCTCCAGGACCCGTGGGCTTAAGCCGAAGTCATTTTGCTCTAAGCACGGCCCTAACGATGTAGCAGGCTTGTTTGTTACGGACGCGAGCTCGTCGTCACGATGTATAGCTCCCACCGTGCCTGCTGTGTGGCCTCCATAATACAGCGTGCCAGAGGCAGATGCCCCGCCAGGCAGGGAAGGCCTGGGCCTTCACTCCGGCCCCCTGAAAAAGGAGAGGAAGTAGGTAGTGTGAGAAGAGAGAATGTACGTTTTTTAGTTTCAGTAAGAACACCTTTTCCTTTTCATGTTGTTTTCTGACACGAGTCTTTGAGTTCCAGTAGAAACACTCTGACGCCAGCGCTCCGGGAGGGACAGAAGGCATGTCTGTCCCCGTTAGTGCGCTGGCCATGCTCAGTCCCAATGGGTGCGCTGCGTGTGCGAGCCTCCGCGCCCGTGCGGCTCCATGCCCGCCCACCGCCAACGCGCGGGCGTCTGGTGGGCCAGCCTGTGCGCCCCTGAAGCAGGACGGGACCCTCCCTGCCCTCAGCTGCATCACCAGCGTGTGAGGGACTCCCTGGGACAGGGAGGGTGGTTTCTAGATGGGAGACAAGTGGTCCAGAAAAGAGAAGGAAGGAGAGCCTTCTAGACGGGGAGGTCGCGGTGGGCAGCTGGCCTCGGGGGTAAAAGCCAGTTGAGGCTGCCCGGCCGTTAGCATGGCACCGTAAGCACTGGGGTGCGGTTCGTGTGGACGCGCCCCCGCGTGCCGCAAGCAGACAGCGGGCCGTGAACTGGGGAGCCTCGGAAGGCATCCGTGACTCATTCGGGGTCCAGGCAGCCTGAGTGGCCCTCCCATTGTCGACCTCGTGGCCTCTGGAAACACACTCAGAGCAACTGGTGGGGGCCAGCCAGGCTCAGGCATGAGGCCGCCCGCCAGGACGCCCCGGTTCTGGAGAGCTCGGAGCCTGTGGCCAGGCAAGGGGACAGAGGGGACCAGGAACTTTCCAGGGGCGGGAGCTGGAAGACCTTTAGCTCGGAGCCTGTATGGCTCCGAGTGGAAAGGACTGCATTGTTTCTCGCTGTAGGAGGGCGAGCAGCCCGCCTGGTGTTCTGGGGAAACGCACAGACTCTCAGGGGATGGCGTCTGTACGCTTCTAGGGCCCGGTAACCAGAAACGCGCAGCGCGCGCTCCTGGCTGGCCTTCCCAGTGCCTTGGCAGCCGCAGGGAAAGCAGAGAGGGTGTGAAGAGAAGGATTTCACTGGCAGCATCCAAGTGTAACTAGAAAGGCAGATAAACGAGAAAGTTATGCCCTTTGAATGCATCCCCCATTGTTTTAATTTCATCAGGGGTGTCAGTAGAAATTAGCTTTGGGATGTAGGACACCAAGGTTTTGGGACATGAAGTTAGTGACTCGGTCTCTGCACCTGCCCACACAGTGACCTGGGGAGCAGCACGGCACACGCCTTTTACACCTGTGGCTCCGAGTGTCTGTGGGCACTAGACACGGCGTGGCCAGTGCGCAGGTTGTGGAAAATGGGACTGTCTTAGCTCCGGGTATAATTGTCTAAAATATATGTATGTTGTATTTGGTTTTGTTTTTTGTTTTCTATTCTTTTTCACACCAGTCCACAGTTTGGAAAGAGTTGTTGTTAGCGACTATCGGGGAACAGTTCGCAGGCTGTGCCGCAGCAGGTAAAGAGCCGCGGGCGGGCGCTTGCCTTGTCCTGGTCCTTGCAGAAGTTCGTGTGTGTCTGACTTTCTACATGTTTTGAAGTTGTTTATTTTGTAACTGTGAATTTACTTGGACTTTTTTCATGTGATTGTGGCATTTAGTGTTTTGTGTGTATGGACACATGCATATTTACATGTGTGTCTACTATATGTACGTCTGTGTATATGCATGTGTATGTGCCCTCATAACTCATCTTAACAGTGTCTGTGGTCCTCTGTGCACAGGCAGGAAGGGAAGGAGTGGGGCTCGGGGGGCTCTTGGGTGGTGTTAGGCGGACACAGTTCTGTCCCTCCAGGCCCTGCCCCTCCCCCGGTCCCGGAGTCCCTGCTCACAGGGTGTGATAGGGATGGGCAACATTATTGGCTGTGACCCCCCCCCAATTGAGGCTAAAATATAAGGTCTTCACAACTTGATGTTGGAGACCACTTTCAAAAACCGAGTGAGTTTCTGAGAGCCCCCGAGAGCGAATTTTTATTTTATGAATAAAACCACTCAAAGAGCTGCTCGTTCCAAGTTGTTCCTGTTGGGCAGCTCCTCTGGAGGATCCTGAGCTAACATTTAGGATCACATTTTCCTGTTCAGCTTCCAGTTACGATTTTTTAAAACAAATTGGTGTTGACTAATTTGCCAGCAGCTGTGTGTTTTGTTCTGCTATTGTTTTGCTTTATCTTCACACCATTTTTTTTATTAAGATAAAACCTGGGTTAGATGAAATTATCTTAAAAATAAGATTCCTTTTATTTTAACAGTGAGTGGTTAGCAACTTCACAATATTGCAGGCAAAATGCATCCGAGGTATATTGATAAATACAGACATCCTGGGAGAGGAAGTTTTCCGCATGAATTATTCGCTTCCAGAACCAGGGAGAGTTAGCTAGTAATAGTAAGCAGGATAAGCAAAGGAGGCCTGCTGTCCTGTGGCTGACGCAGGAGAGGAGAGCACCTTTACTGAGGAACCATTAGCCTCCCAGGAACCGGGCTCCGCTGCCTGCAGCCAGTCAGCTCATCTGGCCGCACGTGCCCCTCCAGCCACAGTCCCTGGCCGTGATGCCCCAAACTAACCAGCTCTGCGACCCACTCGCTCCTGGCTGTTCCATGCTTGCTGTGGGTCTGCTGAGGCACTGGAGCCGTGCCTGCAGCCAGCACCGGCCGGACTGACACTGCCCGCCATTCCTCGGTCTCTGGCCAGAGGTGCAGAATGGGCAGTGGCAGGGCCGGGGTGCTGAGGGCCGAGCAGCGACCACATGGGCATTTCTGAAAGGGGTAGATGGCTCGCCTCTTCCCTCGGTGGCTTTACATTCACACAGAACTTAATGCAGGTGAGCTGCAGCAAATGTATGCTGAAGGTGTGAACAAAACAAAGGCTCTGATGGAATAAGAAGTCCCCGTTGAATGGCTGTGATCGGGGCTCTTTAGGTTTGGGGAAACTTTTGGTAAATGTGACATACACAGGAAGGAGTACAGCTGTACCCTGCAGAGCTTGGTAACTGTTCGCCAGGAGACAGACCCCTGCACCGAGAGCCCTGCTCACCCTCCCTCCCAACTGGCCGCCATCCCCTGCAACACCACCATTTGTGGAAATGAACCAGTTAGTGCCAAATCATAACTGTTTAGCTGACCAAATTCACTTAAAAAGGTAATAAAGGAGAGAGGGACCAAGGAAGAGAAGGAAGGAGGAAAGAAAGGAAACGTTTCCCTGAATAAGTCACTTAGATTTACAGCAGATTAGGCAAAGCATGTTTATTAAAGCAACATTTTCTTCTTTTGGTGCTTACCTTTGTCCTTTGACTTGTTGGAGCTGAGTGTGCAGCTGCCGAGAGCTGGCCCTGGTTCGTTAATGAGCCAGGAACACGTAAAACCAGAGTCAGGTCAGCTGCAGGTTAGCCTACACAGCATGGCTACAGGGAGCGTGTGAGCGGAGAGAAAGCTTACTTCCCCAGCTGCCATTCCCACATACCTACATGCTCCCTCCATCCACAGCGGAGTGGCTTTTCAAAAGACCTCTGGTTAATGTGGCGAATGCTCGTCCACCCGCTGAGCACGGCTCGGCAGAGCCTCACTCCGGAAGCGTGTTCTCATGCTTCCTGCGCAGCGCGAACAGACGGATGGATGGTCATTGAGTCTCTAGCCCACCGCCTCCAGGTCCACACACACCCTGGAGAATGAGAATTCACAGACCACAAAGGGCAGGAAGAGCAACTCGAAGTACACAGTCTGGTCCAGTTGGTGTTGGGGCGAAGAGTTCTAACTACCCCAGAACTGACGGCTCCGCAGGAAGTGAGGAGAAACACTTCCGTTTCAGCAGAGACGGCAGGGCAGGGAGGGACAGTGCGTCTGAGTTCACTTGGCTTTCAGAGGGCCGAGTTACACAACTCGTTTTAGAAAAGGTCTCATCAAAACAATAAGAAATAGTCAGAAAGCTTTGGTAACCGGTCAGAAAGGATGGATGGCTTATCTGGAAAATGTGGCTAGAATACTTCCGCTGTTTATCTAAGTCCCTGGTTAAATGTGATGTGATTGTTACAGCTTTTGCCCAATAACTTGCTTTTTGTCCAACAATTCTCTTTAGAAACAAGTATTTATCATGGGTGCTCTTGTGCCACCTTATTTTACCGTTCATTTATAGCTTACAGATAGAATAGTAAGAGCTTGGCAAATAGCCGGCAGATTGACACTGTCGCTCACGTCTTCCTTCCTGTCTCCCCCAGATGACGAAGTCATAGGTGTCAGTGTCAGCGTCCGGGACCGCGACGACGTGGTCCAAGTCTGGAACGTCAATGCCTCCTTAGTGGGCGAAGCGACCGTTTTAGAGAAGATCCATCAACTCCTGCCCCACATAGCTTTTAAAGCAGTGTTTTATAAACGTGAGTGCCTCGTTTCGTTACTACTTTCTACATCATTCTGCATAAAAATAGAAACTGTGTTGCAAGTGAGGTGAAGGCAGAGTCACTTGAAGTTCTATAATCCAGAAAATGTTTATGGAAACATTTAAGTGTTTTTTTTTTAAGTTTAGTCTCAGAAATTAGAATGAGATTTAATTCTTGCTTACTAGTAAATGTGTGGATCAGAAAAGAGGATACACATGTATCATTTCAAAACTTCAAACCTGCTTTGAGTTTGTCATTCTCAGAAAAAAGTCACCGTCTGTGTTCACAGCAGTAACCGGAAGTGCTGCTGTGCGAGCTGGCGGGGGAGCGGGGGGGCGGCCCTCCCTCAGCAGTGGTCCCCGGGTGGCCTGTGTCCGGGGACGGGCTGTTCTGCGGAGACGCCCACGCTGCCTTGGCTGTGACGGGGACACGTTAAAGCGTGACTAGGCGTGTGGACCCATTGTTTCCATCAGTGGTCATGTTCATTGCTTTGTGTGCTCTTTTGAAAAAGTCACTTTTGTCCAAATGCAAACCTGTGCTTGGCGCTCTAGCAGGCGCCAGAGAGATGCTGGGCGAAGCCGGCCGCCCTGCTTGGCTGCATTTCCTGTGTCCCAAACCGTCCGAGAGCCAGCAGCCCAGACAGTGCCCAGATGACCAGCAGTGTTTTAGTGTTCCTCAGAAAGAGAGTACGGCTCCCAGTGAGACGACACACTTGATTCCGGGGTGCCCCAGGGGGGCGAGGCACATCTTAGAATTGCTAAAATATGCTTCATTTTTCTCAGCCCCCTTCCAAAAAGGAGGGAAAACATCAACCGTTGTTCCCTCAGCAGTCACTCATCAGGCGGAGTGCCAGGCCCGCAGCTGCCGCAGGCATTCAGGGGCAGTTCACGGAGACCGAGCTGCGGCAGAGTCCTCGCTGCTGTGCTGCAGGGTTCACCCTTAGGAACATCAGTGCATCTTCAGGCCACATGTTAGTTGAAGGTCACTGCGCGGTAATCCACAGCAGGAACTCTGGAAGGAAGCCTGGACGGCCATTGGAGACGGGCCCCGCACCCTCCCGCCCTCGAACCCACACCACCCACGCCAGAGGACTCCTGTCAGGCCCTCGGACTTGCTTCAGCAAGTCACCTCCTCAGCCTCACTCCCATTGAAGTAGCCAGGAGGTTGGTCTTAAATGATCTCTAAGGTCCCTTCTACTTCAAAATTATGTGACTACACTTCCAGGGAACGTGTTAGCAGCAGGGCCAGCCTGAGAGGAGGGTTTCCTTAGATAATTTGGCCACAGAGTGATGAGGCCATTTGTTAGGGCAGTGCGGCCAGCAGGTGAGACTGAACAAGACTGAGCCCCTGCTTAGCTGTGTGATGGGCAGGCGCTGGGGAGCCCGGCAGAGGGAGAGCTGGCCACAGCTGGGCCGGCTGAGTCCGCTGGACAGGCCCCTGAAGACGGAGCCCATCGGCAAGCCCGTGGGCGCTGCAGCCCAGCTCCCGTCTCAGTGGAGTCCAGGCTGTCATGGTGTAAGTTAACATCTAAAAATCTAAGATTATGCAAAGAAAATTTTGAATTGGAAAAAAAGAAGTAATTTTCTTTATTTTATAAAAAGCAGGCAGTCCTTTACTCAGTAGAGTTCTGTGTGCTACAGACTTGCTTTGGAAAACTGAGGTTTTGCAGGAACTCGCAGCTGGATGAGGAGCAGCTGTGGAACGCGCTGGGTGGAAATGGCCACCTGCCTGCTTCTGCCATGCTCCTGGCCTGGTGCGAGAATTCCTTCCGGGCGCAGAGCCGGCACACTTCACCCTCCCCCACAGGGTGGATAAGAAACGGGCTGTTGATAAGTTTATATGTGATTTGGATAAAAATTGGTTATTTGACCGAGAAACTGCTAATATATAGAGAGCCCTTTCCCCAAATTCTGTTAGGTTAACAGAGCAGCTGAATGGCAGATGTCTTCTGATGTGAATATTGTTTAGAGCAGAGGTTGGCAAACTTTGGACTTCAAGCCAAATCTGTCTGGCCCCTAGTCGCCTGTTTTTGGGCTACAACTAAGAATGGTTTTCACATTTTCAAACAGTTGGAAAAACAAAAACAAAAACAAAAAACAAGAAAAAGACCTACAGTGTATGAAAACTGTGTGAAATGTACATGTCAGTGTCATGTATGTAGAAGACATATTGGCACCCAGCAATCACCATGTGTATACACACCATCCATGTCTGCTGCATGGCACAGTGGCAGAGTTAGCAATGGGCCCAGAGACCCTATGCGCCCCTTCCAGAAAAGCTGTGCCGAGTCCTGGGCTCGCAGTCTGCAGCCCCTCCCCAGGCGCAGGCGGGCGGCCTCCCTCTGCGCGGGCACGCCAGCCCGTCTCCGTCTGCAGGCTCCATGCCATCCATGCAGCACCTGGGTTCCCTACTCTCAGAGGCCAGGAAGCACAGGATAGTTTGGATCTCTGGATATTTTTATTTTATCTTTTTGTTTTTCCTCACCTGAGGATATTTTTCCATTGATTTTTAGAGAGAGTGGAAGGAACAGGGAGAGACAGAGAAACATCGATGTGAAAGAGACATATTACATATTGGTTGCCTCCCACATGTGCCCGAGCAGGACCAGGAGTCAAGGCTGCAAGTGAGGTACATGCCCTTGATCAGAGTCGAACCCGAGACCCTTCAGCCCAAGGGCTGATGCTCGAGCCCCTGAGCCACGCGGCTGGGGCGCGGCCTCCGGGCCTCCACCCCTGGAGCCCAGAGCGGCGTCTCCCCTGTGACCAGCGGCGCTGCCTGTTGGATTGCAGAGCAGACCAGTTCACTCGTGTCGTGTCTGCCCGAAGTCTTCCTTAAAAAGAAAAACACATGAGCTAAATGCTTGTCGTTCTCCTCGCGGGAACTGCCAATTAACCCCGCCTGCGTGCCAGGCCCCTTAGAGCACAGGCCTGCTTCTCCGGGTGTTTTGTCCAGAGCAGGCAGCGGAGCAGGCCGGTCTGCAGGAGACGGAGCGGCTGTTGAAACCAGGACTGGATTCTTGGAGGAGCCCGGAGGCGCCGCCATGCCTTCCTGGCCCCCTCCTCTGGGGGGGTGGCGGGCAGGGCCGGGCAGAGCAGGGGTCTGCACTTGGCAGCAGACTTCCCACCTCCCATTTCCCACTTCTACTTTTTAAAGTTTTAAGTCTTTGAAAAAGAGTTTCGATAATTTTTTTTAGTCTCAAGTTTTTTAAAATGTCATCTGTAATTTTGAAAGCCAGACAGTAGAGCTGGGAGGGGAAAATAAAGACCCATCAATTTTATGGGCTTTCGCTTCCCACAGAGGGCGTTCAGGGTGCAGATGTAATCGCTACCCCCGGATTGCTCTTTGTTTGTTTTGTTTTTGTTCTGTTTTATTCCTAAAGGCAGCTCGTGTGCCAGGGGCCTGCCTGGGTAACAGAGGCCCTCCCTGAGCATGCGTGCTGTGGGGGCGTTTTCCTGCGGCGTCTGCGGGAGCCCAGCACGTCCTCTCATCAGCTGTGGGTGACTCACCCTCCGGCACAGTGCAAGGCACAGGCAGCGTGCCCGCTGCATGCTCACTCCTTATCTTAACGTTCATTATTGCATCTCAGGAAGTGCACGCCTCGCCAGCAGGACTGGCACAGAGAGGTAGCTGAGTTCTTGCCAACATTTGGGGAAACAGTGAGGTAGTTGCCTTAGAGCAGGGTTGCCCCATCCTTTGCTTAAAGTTTTCTTTCCTTTTTTTCTTTTTTGTTTTTTTCTGCCCTTTAGCCCATGAAGAGCATCATGCTTTTGAAGGTGGACGTGGAAAGCACTAATTGCACTCTGTAAAGAATGCTTTGTCCTTTGCTGATTGGTTTTGGAAACGGTCTTAACAGGAGGGAGAGTGAAGAGAAGATTGCCGAAGTCCGATGCTGCTCACTTAGTGAGCTTCGGGCCCGCAGATGGGCAACTAGGACTCCAAGTGGCAGGTGGGGTGGGGAGACCGGGTTTCGGCCGTCACATTGCTGGTTTTGTTTTTTGTTTTTTTGCTTTCTGTGTTATTTTCACTCCAATTCTTTTGCCCTTTTGAATTCCGCGTTTGGTCTAATGACTGTTTTGTGCACTCTCCTTTCGTGGAGACGCGGGGAAACCAGTTCCCCTTTAAGGGGCGGGCTGTGCCTGGTCACAGGACATGCGTCCTCATGCCAGGACTGCTTCGGACGCCGCGCTGTCCTCACAGGAAGCCGCTGGGGAGACCTGTCCTCGGTACTCCTGGTGGGACACACCCTGCGTGCCATGCACTGGCCTGGTTCTTCTGTGTTTGGGAGAAGCACAACCACACTTACCAGATGTTGCACTGTCAGCACGCACATCTTTTATCTTTCCTTTTTAAACTCTTTCTATGGCTCTGAAAGGAAGATGATAGCTGGCTTCACTCACATGAAAGCTGCAGTGACCCTTGAGCATCAGGGTACAACTCAAACCGAGTTTGGACTCGGACATCTTCCTCACTGAGGGCCCGTCGGCCTTTCCGCAGGAGGGTGGCCGGGGCCGGGCTCCCTCTGGTCTCAGAGGAGAGAGCCAGCTGGCTGCCGCGAAGCTCTCCCACATGTTGGGCCTGTGCACACCCAGGCTCCACATCGATGGACACGTTTTGTGAAATGACCCTTTTCCTGCTCAGATTGCGTCATTTCCGGTAATCAGCAGTCCCCCAAATTGGGCAACTTTGCCTGTTGTTCATTTCAGGGCAGGAAGCTAAATCTCATTTCCAAAATAAATGTGAACATCCATAGAGTTGAACTTGGAGTGCATATTTGTTCATATTAATTTTTGGAATTGTTCATCTATATTGTACTATGTCACCAAAGAAATGCTGGTTTTACTGGAAGGAAACACCACGCTGTGGAACGCTGAGCCCTGCTCAGCCCTGACTGCCGGCTCTGCTTTGGCTGAGGGGTCGCTTGAGGCTGCTTGTCCTCCTGGTGGCCTTGGCGCCAGGTTGCTCGCACACGCTCATACATCACACAGAAGGGCATTGGGCCCACGGTCTTTACTCTCCAGCAGAGCCCGGGGGCCTGCAGGCCCGGCCAGTGTTTGTAAGTAAAGGTCTCCAGACATGTGCGTGGACTTCCTGCAGCTCTGCTTAGGGAAGCTGTGCCCTTCGTTGGCATCACTGACCACAACAGCCATAATCATGATGGTCATCATTTTTAAAAATGCTTTGTTTTTAAACTTGAGTTCTTCAGTGATTTTGTGAGGTATAAGGATATCAGACCCATTTTTCAAAAGCCTGAAACTTGTCACTTTAAATATTATACTAACGTCCAACTTGTTTTCATTATTCATCTAGAATTAAAAAATTATTCTGGACATGAATTAAGATTCTTTTTATAATATAAATATTTTTCTGATAGATTAGAAAAGATATTGACTTATCTTCATTATAATTGTCATATACATTTCCATAAGTAAATGGATTTTGAAGTATTTTTATTTTTGAACTTTATTTAAAGGCATTGTGATATGTTCAACCTTTGCATGTATATAGCTTTTAAAGTAATAAAATAAAATAAAAATAGGAATGTTAGGCTCACTTGGCTGTCTTCTAGTTTATATTGTTTGTGATCGTGAAGCACGGGTAACACACACAGGGCTGTGCAGCTGCGGTTGAGCCTGCGGCAATGCCAGCTGTGGGAAGGGTTTGGCTGTGTAAGAACTTATCCTCTAAGTCACTTTAAGAGGATTTTGTCAGAGTTTGCTTTTGAAAATGTTTAACTGAATATTTAGTTGGTAAGAGATGCTGTATGAGCTGAGCTAATGTAATCAGTTAAAAGCCTCTCATTACCTTCTTGGATCCAGAAGCCAGTCCTCTTCTGAGGCAAGAAAGTCTGTGGAGCACGTGGCTTTCTGTTGGGCAGGGCCCCATGCGGCCTGCGCCGGGAAGTGGCCTGTCCATCGGGTCTGGGTGTTCAGCCAGTGCTGGCAGGTGCGCACGGGGCCAGCGGGCCCTTCCAGCCCGGCGCGGGCCTAGGATGCAGAGCGGGCCTCGGAGCCGCGTTCCTCATCCCGGAGGCCCGCTGAGAGCCGGCTTGCCTGTGCGCACCAGGGAATGCACCTGGGACACGGGAGCGGCACTTCTCCCCAGAGGAGGCTCCACTCTCCGCCCGCTGCCAGCCCTCCACAGGCGGCTCTCACCTGCTTCCCGCACCCGCCGCTCTCCCCAGTTCTGATGTGAGGGGGGAGTTTACAGCGAACACGTATGTTTACTATAATGTGGCTGTTAAGTGCATGGCACAGTTGATGGAGAAACAAATGAAAAGGAAAACAAATCTAATAAACTGACTCTAACCTTCTCACCTGGCTTCTTGGATTTAGCTCATGTGCCCAGCCGCAGCCTTTAGAGCTGGAGGAAGTTTTGAGCAAACTGGGCCATAGATGCAGTGCACAGTCCCCCACCATCTGCACTTTGGCAGAGGACATGGGCCAAGGCGACAGTGGGCTTGGGAGGCTGCAGCCCTCCCCAGGCCAGGTTCCTTAGCCCAAGAGCCGCACCAGCCTGACCCCCACCCCACTGCATGCCTGCAGGCAGCACCAAGTCGACCATCTGGCCATGGATGGGCCTTCCTGGCCAGAAACGGTGCCGCCCACCCAGTGCCCGCGGCTTGTCTCTGCGCCCTGTCTGCAGGGCCCTCTGAGAGGGCCTGACTGGAGGGAGGGGCGGGCTGCACTGGGAGAGCCTGCCCTGGACCAGCCAGGCCTTGCAGAGCCGTCACAAGGTGGCGCTGCCCTCCCACCCGCCCTCCCGCCCCCTGGCTGGGCGCATAGTTTATTCAGCTGTTTGTGCCATTATTGTGAGAGGCCTGCATTTTGCTCTTGTGATTTTATAAAATGTGGTCCTACCAGCAGAGGTTTAGCTCTCCTGCACCTAATAAACCGTCAGATAGAATCCTCCAGATGTGCTTAAAACTCACAGCTCTCAGGCTCTCGTTGAGCCTGTAAGCAGTCTAAAGGGAAAGAATGAAATAAAGGAACATGTAGGAAATATTTTCTCAACATTGTGCCCGAAGGGAGAAGTAAAACTGCAGTTAGGCTTTTTTAGCTTTGTGAATATGGAACTCCCCTTTTAAAACGTGTCTACTGTTTGACTTTTCCTGTATGTTTCCGTAAGATTTCACTTAGTGTAAATGGAAGTAGAGGACTGCCTGTAGTAGTTTATCTCTTAAAACATCAGATCAATTCAGATCAATTAAAAATCACTTCCGAGTTTGGTGACTCAGGAGTGTAAAGCCCGGAAGTCCTCTCAGCAGCTGAGAAGGGGGCGGGAGGAGGGGCAGCCGGAGTCTGGGAGCACTTCTCATTCAGGCGGAAGTCACCTGCGCTGCACAGGTCCCCCGCTGCCCGCACAGTCCGAGGGACCAGACTCAGGATTTTGGAGCGGAAGGGACCTTGGAGATCATTGTGCTCCCGGCCTGGCGGGGCCATCACAGGCGCTCTGAGGGCGCCCACCCGGCCCAGGGCGCGCAGACGCGGCGCTGCCATTCGGCGCTGCCCTCTGGTGCTGAGGAGACGTGCTCGGCCCTCACTGATGCCATCTGCCCCCCGGGAGAAAGGCCGCCCGCACCCAGTGACCCTGGCATGTCGCACAGGCGCTGGGAGCCTGCAGAGCCTTGAGGAGCGGCTGGTGCTGTGGGCGGCCTGTGCAGAGCGGCCTCCGCCGTCCCAACAGCCTCCCTGCACAGAGGCCTGCTCTCCTCGGCACCGGCCCGACTGCCCACGCTCAGGCCCAGGCCCAGGCCCTCCTCTGCTTGCCCGCAGCGGCGGCCGCAGATGCCGGGAGGCCGCAGAGCTGTGAAACCACGCAGGCGCCCAGCCCTGTTCACACGAGGCCAGAGTCACTCCCAGAGTAGCTTAGCAGAACTCTTACTAAACCGCAAGCGTACAAAGCAAAGGTTCCCTGCACAGAGGAATGTGAGCAGTCACTGTGAGTCAACACTCCTGTCCCTCATCGCTGCTGAGTGCGAGCTCCGTGTGTGTGTGTGTGTGTGGCGTCCCCCTCGGATATCCAGTAAAACTGCCTTTGGATCTTCTGTGTCCTCATGTCCTTCAGCAGCCTCGAGGCTGAGGAGTCTGTTGAGTGTTTGTTTGGTTGCTGCCCGAAAACAGTTACCAACTCATTTAATGAAACACGAGATTTCATTATGGAAACTCCAACTTCTAATGTTCAAAGAAGGGAATTTTATTGACTGCTGTATTTGGAACAAGTGTTTATTTGGGAATTGTTAAACTGGCAACTTTGCATAATAGAAATAAGCATGAAGTAAATGATTGCTTCTGTGTTTTCTATAGAAAATTAATGCTACCTCATCTTTTTACATACAAAAAGCAACTTTTATTAAGGTTTAAGAAGGTGAAAATTTTAATTTTAGCACTTTACATCGTGATAAATGGAGAATATTAAGGGACTTGAGCATTTTAATGAATTTACAGGGTTTCTGTTTTCAAATACAGCTGTTAATTCTGTAAGCCTCGATTAAATTCCTTCCAAATGACGCAGACTTAATCAGGTAGTTTGGCTTACAACCACTGCATGAGTTATAAAAAGGTGTGACTGTCTTCTTTGCTTGTATCCTTGCTGAGATTGTAGTTTCATTTAAGTGATTACACCAAAGGAATTTGGAGCTTAAGCTTGTGAGCACACTTTAGTTTGCACCGTTTGTCCCAAATGTAAAATCTTAGGAGTTGTATTCAAGCTTCCAAACTGTCTTACCTGTGGAAGCTGAAGCAAGTTTATTGCCTTATGTTTTGGATCTGCTGTGGTCCCTCCCCCAACCGTGTACCAGCTGTGCCCTTGCATTTGGGGCCCTTCACATATGGTTCCAAGCTGGTGCGATGCCCTGCCTTTGATCTGGCTTCATCCAGTGATTTGCTCAGGATTTTTAAGGTCAGAAGGAAAACTTTTCTGTTCTAGTTATTTTTTATTTTATATCATGTGTTGTGTTTGATGTTCAGATCCATGTGAAAGTTGCTTCTATAAGTCGGTAATTTTATTCCAGCCTTTGGAGCAATAAGGTAAGACTAAGCTATACTTTTCTTGCTTGAAAATGTAGTGATTTATGTGTTTCATGCGAATGTGTAGACTTTTCATGGCAGCGTTCTTGTGCTTTTCGAATTGGGACTATGTTGCTGTGAATTTGTGCTCCTTCCTTTTCCAAGGTATAACTGTGGGCTTTAAGTGTTCACTAGCTTGTAGAATTTAGTCTTTTCTAATCTGTTGCAATTCTCACTCTGTAACTGTTGTTTAGGATAGAAATGGGTGCGTCTCACACCTCAGCGCTTCTCCCTCCGCCATCTTCCCCTCCCTTCTCTCTAAATAAATCAATGGGAAAATAACTCAGGTGAGGATTTAAACACACACCTGTCCTGCAGTTGCATGAGGCACTTGGCTTCACCTCAGAAAGTTCCAGGTCGCTGAGGCGGTCATGGCCCTGTGTCCAGCGCACACTGAGGGCGGCGCCCGCATAAGGCTGAGGAGCAGCTGTCTGTCCACGCCCCCTCCTCCTACCCCCGCCCCGGCCTCTTGGAGCACATTTGGGGACGGGGCTCACTCGGCCTATCAGGAAACACATGGTAGTTTTCTTCTTTTTCTCTGACCTTTGCTAAGAACGGTTTCCTTTAGAATAAGCCAGTTACCCTTATTTCTTTGTGGCCCTGTGATTTGCCCATAGATTCGCTGTCCCCATTGAGCCACGTTAAGTGATTTTACTCTTCCCTTCTGGCTGAGCTACCCCTTTAAAAACAACAAAATACCAGCGGAGTCCTATTGCCCATTGGTTTGTAGACTGTCCTGCTCCAGGCTGGTGGCGTGTGCAGCTCGCAGGCAGCGTGTGCTGGGAGTGCCCGGGCATGGTCCCTGGCCTCTCCTGCAGGCCCAGGTCCCTGGCCTCTCCTCGGAGGCTGGGAGGCTGATGCGTGGGGCGGAGCTCGGTCCCCACGCGTTCGGGGTCCTGGGGGGTTTCGGGGTTCCTGGTGGTGTTCGAGGTCCTGGGTGGTTTCGGGGTCCTGGTGGTGTTCGGGGTCTTGATGGTGGTCGGGGTCCTGGTGGTGTTCAGGGTCCTGGGTGGTTTCGGGGTCCTGGTGGTTTTGGGGTCCTGGTGGTTTCGGGGTCTTGATGGTGGTCAGGGTCCTGGTGGTGTTCAGGGTCCTGGTGGTGTTCAGGGTCCTGGGTGGTTTTGGGGTCCTGGTGCTTTCGGGGTCCTGGGTGGTTTCGGGGTCCTGGTGCTTTCGGGGTCCTGGTGGTGGTCAGGGTCCTGGTGGTGGTCGGGGTCCTGGTGCTTTCGGGGTCCTGGGTGGTTTCGGGGTCCTGGTAGTTTCGGGGTCCTGGTGGTTTCAGGGTCCTGGTGGTTTCAGGGTCCTGGTGGTATTTGGGGTCCTGGTGCTTTCGGGGTCCTGGTGCTTTCAGGGTCCTGGTGGTTTCAGGGTCCTGGTGGTTTCGGGGTCCTGGTGCTTTCGGGGTCCTGGTGGTGGTCGGGGTCCTGGTGCTTTCGGGGTCCTGGTGCTTTCGGGGTCCTGGTGGTGGTCGAGG